TCGCTTCAAAATTAGAACGAAACATGCCAGCAGCAGAAATAGAACCTCGCGCATGTCATCCATTTTTCGTTCGTAAATAGCGGCTTACCAAAGGTCACCGACTAATGGCACCCCTTAGTCCGTGCTAACGACTGGCCCTCCCTGTGCGTGGACGCAATTGGGTCGAGCCGAAACGCAAATATGCTAGATAAGCCTAAATCAGCTTAAATCTTAGCCCGTACTTCGTGTAACGTGAACACAACTTATGTGTCCATAATGTCAGTTACTAATTTAGAAGTACAGGAAAAATTAATATAATAATTTTTCATGGTTTGTGTTTTGATGACACACATATATACATGTGTAGTACCCCATACTAGATCGTATGATCCCATGAAAATACTGTGATTCCGGTACTGTATGGCCTGACAGCTTGTTCTAAACTAAATTTATTCACAGTATTTGGTGCAGGTACAAAAAGTAACCCTGCAAACGAAACATGCACACATCATGTGTACGTTCTATGATTATAATTTATTTTTATGTATTTTTTTACTTTTAAATGTTTGTACTAAGTAAAATGCATCTGTTGATAAATGCACACACCTAATGTTCAATTTCTTAAATGACTTGAGTTCAGTCGCTGATTTTATGATGTGTTTTGTATTATGGAGCATGAAAACACCCAAACGTCATTCCATTAATTCCATTTGATGCACGGCACGGTGATGCATTTTATAACTTCACTTGGACAATACAGATAAATGGTGTCACCAATCTCTATTTCAAAGTACAAGTGAAGAGGTTGCAGTGTTATGTCAATTTACTGTGCGTCACATACGTAAAATTACGGCTTTGTGTCTCGATTCTTTATAGTAAGACCAATGCATTTCAGTTTATCTCCGACTTAGAGTAATGTGAACTCCTTGAAGTGTGCATTCACTTCGTTACAAATTTTGGTTGACATGAGTCATTGATGGTGCACATAATGTACAAACTTTAAACGAGTCTCTGAGGTAATCAAAGAACTATCACGCATATTTGAAACCTGTGAATAAAAATGGAAATATACTTACATGTATCTTTTGCCATATGAACTGAATAATTCAGTGTCTGCTGGTAATTACTGTGAACCATACTGAGGTTTGGCCTGGCTGGCCTATACCCCGTACTACGTCACCAAACATGAAGCGTTGCCACACTCAAAGTGTGGTCCTATCATGTGTATAAAACTTTAAAACCCATGTGATTGACATACACCATTTCTTGTCGGATGAAATATCCATCTACCGATATGCCCATTTTTACAGTGTTCATCCCCGAAAAATTGCATACAGTATTGGTCAATTTGCATAACAATAGAACATAGTAATGACTTTTATTGTGTTCATTGTTATGCTAAATTGGTTTTATTGTTTATCCAAAATTGATTGGATAAAACATCTGGGGACCCCTAGTTCATAATGCCCTGGGGAGAACCCTGCCTACTGTAAAATAATTTATTTTCGCTTGAAATTAATTTTTGCTTTTTTCGCTGAAGGAATGATTAAGTGAAAATATAATCCAATGAATATACCTTTTTCATATATTTTACATTCAACTCGCCAAAAATCAGTAAAAATAAAGTCCATACAAAACACCTAAAAAATAATTTACAGTACCGGTAATTAACCAGACATACATGTACATGTATGGTGGTTGTAAATAGAGCTACAAAACATTGTCCAACCGTGTTGTATCTAAAAAATTTTACTTGATCTAAGCATGTTTTCATGTGCATGTAGTTTAGGGTTGTAAAAGTGCAATGAACTAGCGAACCAATAAAATAATCCAAATCATGACAATCCATTAATCTTTCTCTCTTTGTTGGATACTTAGAAGAGCTCAAAGGCAAAAGTCGTTAATAAAGAAATGCACCAAACCTAAAGCAGGTCTTTAATTAATATACAGCTGATGGCATTTAACTTTATGCTTGGTTTTATATTAATGTGCATGTACATTGTAGGTGTAGTTGATTAATGGTGATACAGTTGTTGAACTGACCTAGTGTTAGTGTATCATCCTGTATACACATAGTGATACCATCCACAGCTGTTGTACATGTGTGTGTGTGATATATGACTCAATTAATCATCCTTCATACCCTGCCAAGTGTGTACTCTGAACTTGACTCCCACCCTCACTTCACCCTACTGCTACCTCTTATTTGAGATGCCTGATATGTTTTTTTCTCTCTTGTGATCAAGCTTTTGAAAATAATCAGAAAATAATCGTGTTAATCAGATTAGATATATTATTCATTGATTGTTACAAAGACTCCACTGTCTATATTCCTTGGTTGTGGTCTAAATTCACCATTCATCAGTCATTTACATATACATGTAATAAAAATAATAATAAAAATAAATTGATGAATAAATTAAAAAATGTGATTTAAAAAAAAAAATCCCTTGTTATTTTATCCAGAAAAAAACGATATTGACATGGTGAATCATGAACATCAAATGAGTGAGTGAATTTTAACCTGTTACATTTTGTATCTGTTAATGTTTGATTGACACCTGTCAGCTTTGTGGGCAATTATGATATTTAAAATTAAAATAAATCAGTAATAATTTCACTTCAGCAGTTTGAAAAATTATGATTTTTTTTTTCATTGTTGCGTAGGTGGTTATGCACATGGCACAGTTAAATAGTGATTGAAGTAAATATTAAATGTAATTTTCTAGTCTGATAAAATGACAATTTACAAAGTAGAGATTCAGCGTGTTCAACACATTAGTAGAATAATCAGAATTTCCATTATGTCAATTTTGTTAATTGGCATTACCGACCATTAGCATGTAGTTTTCATTTTTTTTTTACATTGATAAGCATCGCTTTCAAACCATTTTTTCAGTTGAAAAGCTCAAAATTTTGATAATTTGGTTTAATACAGTTGTATCCAGTAACTGTGTTTTTTTTTTTTGTGGTAATTTTACTCAAAACTGAAGATACATGAATGATTGGTACTGTACATAGAAATAAAATAAATTAATAAATACATACATACATGAATGAATAAATAGACAGACAGATAAATAAATAAATTAATAAATTTGCTACTGTTGATCATCGCAGTGTATAGCTGAAAAGTAGAAGTTACATTGTAGATATCGAGAAAATAGTCATGTCTACCTCCCACTGGGATAAGATTATAACTGTTGTGATGTGTATACATATGTGTCATTTGCGGAGCGTGTACGTTACTCAAACATGTATATAGATTTATTGCTGTGTGTTTTATATTACTAGTGTATTTCATAGCGGGAGATACGTGTACTGAGAATGTGTACCGTAAACCACTTCAACTTGGTTAGAATTTCGCTAATTGATGAAAATTGTGAAATTTCGAAGCAGTGACAATTTCACTGGGGTCCTACCATGTGGCGTGTCAGCAGCTCTCGTGAAATTTTTTCACCATGAATGCCATAAATTCTCGAATCGTAAAATTTCTAGCGAAAAAAACGGTTTACCGTATATACATGTACATGTATGCGCGCTCTCCACTGACGGAATTACAAACAGGCCAATACAAATAGGAAATCAAACCTTTCTAAGAACACAATTCAGATTTAACATTGTGGCTAACTTCACATACATGTACTTTGCTTGCATGTAATTTTCCTATCTGTGTATGTGTATATGTGATGAAGATTCCATTCTGCGTGATTTTCATGTGTGTGTGTCAGTAAAATTAACTTAAAAAAAGATGATTGCGTAAACTGTTATGAGCAATGTTATCTTACAGTTCTGAAAGGAAAATAACAATACAGTATGTGTAAACAAATTGATGTGCATGTGTATAATAGTACATGTATACCCACTTCAAAAATCACCGAGGGTGCATGTACGTCTGGGAAATGGTCAAAGACATAGAAAAATAAGAACAACAATACATGGTTGCTAGTCAGCCATTTTGAATCAAATCTCGGTGGGGGGGGGGGGGGGATAATGTGCATTAGTAACCTATTATGTGTGATGTTCATACAAAGTTTGAAATAAATTTAGATTTTTTAGGAAAATGACAGTCAGTTAAATTTCATCAAAACCCCAAAATATCCAAATTTTAACAAAATTTGTGAAGGTGTATTTGAGGTGCATGAAGAATACAATGGTTACCAGTCGGACATTACATGTATGAATAAAATAGCAAAAGAAAATTATTTGTCTCATTAACCTGCTATGAGTGATGTTAACAGCAAGTTTGAATGAAATTAGTCGAGGTATTCCTGAGAAACATTTGATAACATGATTTAACGTTGATTTCAGGAGAACTAATCATTTCTTTCATTTCTTGTATTTTTAGAAATGTCTGTTCTTCTTGCTTTTTTGTGATTATCTTGCAATAGGTGATTTTCCATTCACTGCGAGATTTTGGGCAATACATGAATATGCTTATTGAACGTATACCTCAAAAATCAAATCATTTGATTTTGAACTTTAATTTCTCTTATTTATTGTTCAATGTCGAAATGACATTGAGATATTTCGTCAAAATTGACCATCATCAAATGTGTATGGCATATTATTAGGCTCTTAAGTACTCAAAAAATTTGATGTTTTGACGCCACCATGACGCTATGACCTTTGTTTGTCCTGTTTTTAGGTTCAATTTCACATATATTGCAGGATCTCTTGGGAAATGGGAAATAGTCTATTAGTGCAACTTCAAATAATTATTGTTATCAAACCATTTGCATACCTTTATCTTATGAACCCTTTGATTTGTGATCAGAATGCATAATAGTTTTGACCACTTACCAGTATACCACTCTTCTTTGATCCGCAGTAATAACCCAACTTGATGCCATCGAGAGAACAGTATTGATTGGACAAAAGGTTGTTTTACAATGTTCGAATGACAATTCCACGGTAACTTGGTATAAGGATGGTGTTGACATGAAGCAATACAATGTTTTGGTAATAGAACACGCCATGAAATCACAAGAAGGTACATACCAATGTAGAGATGGGAATACAACTGTAATAGAAGAAATTAACTTAGTTGTTGAAGGTAAATTATTTTTTGTGTGCACTAGAAACAAAGTTGTATATTATAGGGGCCTGCAATAACTTATGGGCTACCTCTCTTTTTATTGTCACAATTAATGCGATCAACGACTATTAAAATTTTAACAGTCCACTAGCCATGCATCTTTTATTAGAAATTTGTTCTATGTCTTGTGGAATTTATTGCTTTTGCCTAACCTGTCATACACATTCCTACATTTTACTTATTCGCATTGCACATTTATCGCATTTGCATCACACGTTTGTGATGCTCTCATCGCATATTATTACGTTTTTTTATTGAACCATGCTAGGTATCGCTTAAACTGGCCTAACCATATTAATTTTCCAGAATGCGATCACTAGATGGTGAATATGCGACGCCTAATAAGATCAATTGCAACTCTAATGCAATCACTATGCATTGTTATTGCAAAAAAAAATGTTGCAAAAGTCTTACTTAACATGCATCATCATGTTTTTTTATGTAAAATAATACACAGGTTGGTCCTTAGCTGACACAATGAAATATAGTACAAGGACGCTGATGAAATCCTTCATTTTATCAACTGACTCCTACTATTAGACTATTAATTTTCTAGGCTTGTCAATTTTTTTTTTTTTTTTAATTTTTTTTTTTCTTTTTGTCTTGGGAAGTGAATCAAACTAGATTGTGCAGTAATGACCACTCAACTGTCAAACTGCCTTGCTAGTTTCTTGTAACTGTAGTTATTTGAAGTTATTGGTATAATAGATTATATACTAGTACATGTGTTATTGCTTTTATATATCAGTTTGAGTAAACTGTGAAATCGCGAAATTTGCAGAATACAGTGAACATACCTTGTGTTCTTGTTTAATGAACATGAAAAAAGTTATTGTCAAACATAGTCCTTGTTTGTATCTTAGGTATGAAGTATATGACTTGATTTGTGATGTATGTGTGTAGTACAAACACGCAACTGCATTCATTTGAACAAGATGACTGTCGGTCAGCCATTTTGGATTTGATAGTCACAAAATTATATGTGCATTTGTCCGATATGTGAAGTTTGAACTGCATTTTTGAAACAAAATTCCACCAGTCAGTCATTTCAAACAGAAACAGAAACTGTCAATGCATGACTGGTTTCGGACTGGTGAAATTTGTGATTTTAAGACATATTTGGTCTTAGAATGGCTGCCATTCAGCCATCTTGAATCAGATCATGAAACTAATGCATGTGCATATGTGCGATATGATGCATTTTGTATGTGTGATGTAAACATGATTGGCCCAGACATGTTAAATATATGGAACTGCATTCTTAGAAACATAATGGCCACCTTTTGGCCATTTTGAACTTGATCTTAAAAATAAAATGGAGTGCATCAAGGTTCTATTTTGTCTTTAATGATTGTACCACATTTAAACCAAATCCATTCACACATTACTGAGATCTGGTTCCGGAATGGTGACAATTTTGATGCATTGTTTGGTATTATGCAATGTACATGTATGTGGATGGTGGGGTTGGTGGATGGTGTTCATTGATATTCTGTTTTCCTGCTCCTTAAATGGACAAGAAGATCCAAATCCTGGAGTTGTAGAAAGACTTCATGGCCAGCTAACAAAACTTTAATTAATACTTATAACAGCTGCAAACAAGATTTTCACGTGAAAAAAAACAAACATGCTATTCATTATTCTCCAGCGTTATTCGCGGAATTGCCTTTTGTGGCAGCTTAATTGCTGATCACGTCACCCATAGTGTAGTCTGACCTTTCGTGCACGTGCACATACCAGTCTGTTTGAGATTGCTGTCTCTTTTACAATACACTGTGCTAAATCACCACTAGGATATACACTTTGGCTTTTGTGTTGTGGGACCTATTCACTTCCTGTTTATTCCGTTTACAGCCTTCACTCCATCCACCTATTATAGAATGCATGCACATATGCATGTAAGCCTTTGCTTGATGACTCATTTAATTCAGAGATCGTTTCGAAGACTGTTGTTCCATTTTTTTTTTCTATTCAGAGAATGATGATAACTGTAATTTGAATTGACGTTTAATTGATTGATTTTTTGATTACTGTGCAAAGGAGGGGGGGTATGGTATTTAATTCTTTTACTGGGGCAATATTTTATTCATATACAGTGTTCGTCTTGATGTCACTAAAGTGCCTGAGAGTGTAGTTTTTATGTATCCAGTATCAGTGTTCTTATATAGTGACAATGTGTAGCGAATGTTTATATTTTATGTGTATCAGGTGTTTTTGTGAAGTAACTATTCAAGTGTTCTTACTGTGAGTGTTTGTTTGTAATAGTTGATGTGTATCAAGCTCTTTTGTGTCCCTGCTGTCACCTAAGTTTAATCAATAAAAAAATTGGTTATTTAAAAGAATAATACTGCTACTATGGAAAAATATGCAGGACTTTGCTTGGCAATGAGTACAGTAAAACCTGTCTTTTTAGCTAGCATGTTACTTTAGCTAGTTTAGCTAATCTGTAATTTTGCTAATTCGAGATGCAGCTAATGTAATAGAAAGTTTATTCTCACAGGGAGATTGTCAACACTTTAGCTAAAATAAGATCAAATAAAAGTAAAATCCGCTAAAATTGTATGCAGCTATTTCAACGTGTTCTGCAGTATTCAATGAATAATAATTTTAATAATATCATTACATATTTACAATACTAAGATGATATATATTTATTTTTTTCATTTAGACATGAATACCTCCAGTAAATGAAATATTCACTGACAAGATATTTATGTGCTGTTTACATCATTTTTATTGATTTATCTTCTTTTTCAGTTAAACCTGCATCTCCTGGTCAGCCATCAGTCAATGACATCACTTCCTGTCAAGTATTACTCAATTGGTTGCCAAGCAATAACTCAGATTTCTTCAGCAGCGCAATTACCTATTTTGTTTTGCAGAGGTAAGTTATTTTTTCTCTTGGTTTGCACACTTAAGAATCAGAATATGGTGAAAATAAAATCATGGTTTTGAGTCATGCTCAGGAAACTACAAAACTACACGGAAGTACAACGTTTGCTTTATGAATGAAGAGAAGTAGGAATTGCTATGATGACAGTGTTAATTCCGATTGGTCATTACCAATTTTAAATTAATTGTTAAACTGCCTTGTTTGAATATCTGTATGTTTGAGCTACGATATGTTGTCTACCACTGCTATCCACTTACAAATGTAAGTAACTTGCATTGGGTAACTCTTCGTTTGAATTTACTGTGATGGAAACTCACAACTGAGTACACTGCGATGTAAACTGAATAGCCAATATCAGGCTGCTCTTGCTTGTACACATACATGTACATATCCAGTAAAAACAGATGTTTCTATTTTATTTATACAAATGTATAACCTTGAATGTTAAAGGAATGAATCTTTATTGTTTGGGTTCATTTCTACTCCCAGTTTGTCAGTTATGATTGGACCAACTTGATTTTAATTTTGTTGATTTCCAAGTTAAGTTTCATGGAAAGGAGTTATGAAAACACTGTATTTCTACAATTTCATAAAATGTTCATTGATGTATTACTTATAAATTTGAGATCCTCATTGATCAATTTCAAGATAAGTAAATATTTATCATACTTAAATTCAATGATGTGATTCACACATGGAACTTGCATGAACTTATGAAGAGCGAATTCCTTTGAACCATCGGATTACGAAAAGTTATAGTGGGAAAAAATATGGCTTCTCGTTAATCAGTTGTAAATTTCAGTTCTGTGTTAATAATAGGTGATAAATTGTTTTATTATATCCTCGTTTCATACACACTTTCCTCAAAGACTGTTGATATTTGAATAACCAAGGTTTTATGTTGCTGTTCAAACCATAAAGATTCATTCATAATTTAATAATTTTTAATGCACTTATTTTATTGCAGTATGGACGGTAATGAAATGATAAATAGTGGAGTGAATACAAGCAGTACATACGCAGTAATAACGTCACTTCGATCACAAACCAACTATAGCTTTGCAGTCATTGCAAAAGCTAATAATTTGACTTCGCTTCCCAGTCCGGAGTCGAAACAAATTACAACACTTAAAGAAAGTAAGTGCATAATATACTCATGTTCATCCATACTTGTCTGGGATTCTAGTTAAGAAAATAGTCATTATAAATGTAATCAGAAAACCAAATGCTGTTTCTGTGTGAGTGTCTTCTGTGCCATTCGAACTCAGCCCTTTCTTTAGCAAGCTTGGTTGTTCTATGGTCACCCTGTTAAAATTAGGGATTGGTCTATTAGTATCGCACATGTACAGCTCCCTTAGCTCGGGCTAAGATGTCAAATACCTTAGCCTGTGCTAACAAAAAATGAGTCAGTGAACACTTAGCACGGACTAAAACTAAATCTGGCACGTTTTAAAGACCAGGGTCAGACCATTAGGATGGGCTCACAAAGTGAACATGAACACAGCTTAACTGCCCAAAATGCCATTGTATTCAATGTTCATTTGGAAAATTATATTCTGAACTATTCAGCACATCTCAATAGAAATGCAACTAAACTATAAACTGCGTTCATTGTGTACTGTAATGTTAAAATATAAATTATTTTGACCATAGACAAACTTCTGATATGTGAATTAGCACATTTGCTTTATATAACTTATAATTTCACCTTGGTGTGTCTATGTGTATGTTCGTCTGCACAATTACATGTATCTCAGACATGCCAGGACCGACTGTTCCAATTCAAGGTAGCCGAATGCACACTATTTTTTTAGCTCCGCTGTCGACTTTGTCAAGCGGAGCTTATCATATGAGTGATTGTCCGTCGTCGTCCGTGTCAATGTTTTACTTTTTAGTTCCGCTGTCGACTTTGTCGAGTGGAGCTTATCATATGAGTGATTGTCCGTCGTCGTCGTCCGTCGTCGTCGTCCGTGTCAATGTTTTACTTTTTCGACTTCTTCTTGAAAACTACAAGCCTGAATGCTTTGATACTTGGTGTATATGTACCTTGGGTAGACCTCTCTCAGATTTGTTCATTTCATGATGATATCTTTAATTCTCTAATTTTGGTGAATATTTTTGTCATTTTTAGTAAAAAGTGATATTTTCGACTTCTTGTTGAAAACCGCAAGTGCAATTGCTTTCAAATTGATATTACATATATAGGTACTACATGTGGACCTCTCTCAGATTTGTTCATTTTGTAATGATATCTTCAATTCTCTAATTTTGGTGAATATTTTTGTCATTTTTGGTAAAAAGTGATATTTTCGACTTCTTGTTGAAAACCGCAAGTCCAATTGCTTTGATATTTACATATATAGGTACTACATGTCGACCTCTCTCAGATTTGTTCATTTCGTGATGATATCTTCAATTCTCTAATTTTGGTGAATATTTTTGTAATTTTTGGTAAAAAGTGATATTTTTGACTTCTTGTTAAAAACCGCAAGTCCAATTGCTTTGATATTACATATATAGGTACTACATGTGGACCTCTCTCAGATTTGTTCATTTTGTAATGATATCTTTAATTTTCTAATTTTGGTTAATGTTTTTGTCATTTTTGGTAAAAAGTGATATTTTCAACTTCTTGTTAAAAACCGCTAGTCCTATTGCTTTGATATTACATATATAGGTACTACATGTGGACCTCTCTCAGATTTGTTCATTTTGTGATGATATCATTAATTTTCTAATTTTGGTGAATATTTTTGTAATTTTTGGTAAAAAGTGATATTTTTGAATTCTTGTTGAAAACAGCAAGTCCGATTGCTATACATACTATACATATTGTTCATTTTCTAATGATATCTTCAGTTCTTTAATTGAAATGTGCCTTGCTAACAGCGGAGCTATCTCAGCCGAGAGGCTGCTTGTTTTAATTCAAAATGGCTGACTGATGGCCATTTTGTTTTTGGAGCCATATTGCTATCATAGCTGGACTGATCATATTCAAATTTTACACATACATCATTTACCACATTCACCACATGCATCTGTTTTCAGAATCTGATTATCATCAGTTTCATGCTAAAAATGCATTATGAATGTCATGGCCATAATGAAAAAAGGAGTCGCACAAATAAATTGGCCCCACTTTGTATCATAATGATTGGGCATTAATGTTGGCAGTCACTAAAAACTGGATTGGGGACATTTCATTGACGGTAACTTCTTTCATTCCGAATTTGATTGCTTATTTCACCAAGGGTAAGGTTGCAATTGTTTGGCTGAATTTTTATTTATTTATTTTTATTTATTTTTATTTATTTTTATTTATTTTTATTTATTTTTATTTTTTACTTTAATATTAACCTATCATGCAACAACTGCAGGTGCCATTGGAATTCCACAAGACGTTGCTGCTACATCGTGGGATACAAGTACAATTCAAGTCTCATGGAAGCGGCCGTCGAATGACCTCGTCTTTTGTCGAATATCAGGATATATCATAATGTATGCAGTGAATGAAGACAATGCACAGAAAGAAAATGTTACAGTAGAGCAAACAGACATCACAGTAAGTTTTGTGAAAGAGAAAATATGGTATATTCTACAGATTTATCTGTCAGGTGACCTGGAATCAAACATTGTAATAATAATAATAATCATCATCATCATCCATTTTATTTTCTCGCCCATAGAGTGTTGAAATATCAGGCCTTGATGCTAGTACAAAATATGTCATATGGGTAGCTTTTGTCAGCGGTGACAGCATCGGTAATTATAGTACACCAGTCAATGAGACAACGCAACAAGGTACGTCTTGCCCTCTCTGTCTCTGATAAGATTGAACAAGAGAAGAGCATGTTTGTTTGTTTTTGCAGACGTATTATATCGTAATCTTTGGGAATGCAATTCTAATAGTGCTCTGTGATCTTCTACTCCGGAAATTATAAATATTGTATTAATTGTTTTTACTGGCATCCTGTGTTAGTGACCACCATTGGGCAATTCTAGTGTACCAGTACAGTGACCAGGCCACCATTCTGAAGTGCCCACACTTTTTACACTTGAATCACAGTTTTATTTGCACATAAAAGTGTGCATGTACAAATATCAACATAGAAATGCAAATGTGCTTTATCAACATAGATGTGTTCATGCACATTATCAACAACAGACATGTGTGAATCTTATCTATTTTTTTTTTTATACAGCGAAACCTAGTGCACCTACAAATTTTCATGTCAAAGATTTAAGAGCATTCTCCATGGATCTCAGCTGGAAACCCTCTGTTCCTGTACCGGGCGATCCAATTGCAAAATACATCATAGAATATTGGGAGACTGGTACAGATGAATTATTTAGGCAATACCAGACAGCTTTAGGTCAACCAAAAGTCATTAATTATAATTTAACGGAACTAGGTTTGTACTTTACGACATTTTTTTTTTCATTTTTTTACATCACCTTTTTCTCAGACATACAGTGACCATTTTGAGTCACTGACTGTAGTATTGCTGTGGCAGTCATTTTCTACATGCACCATGAAAATACAATACTTTAATTTAGTCTCTAAAAGTTTGTGCTCAGCAGTAGGTCTGATTTAGTCGGGGTCGCAGTGAAATTCCAAATGATTTCTTCTTGAAAACCCACAACTCTATTGGGTTTATACTTGGTAAATATGTTCCTTGGTGACCTCTATGAGATTTGATCATTTTGTGTCGATATCTTCAATTCTCCGTTTTTAATAAATATTTTTCTGTGATGAAAAAAAAATGTTTGCGCAGTTTTTGACCATATTGCATCTCATTTCTAATAAGCAGCCAAGACATGGAAAATTGATGATTTTTTTTATCACCATTGAAATTACCCCTCCCCCAGATCTGTTTTTTTATGTCTATTGATCATCCTAACAGTAGTACTCTCTGTTTTGTAGAAGCAGCCACGGAGTATTCAACGCAAGTATCGGCCATATCAATGGCGAATGTACGTGGCGATACATCTATCATGCTTAACACAACCACCGATTCTAGACGTAAGTACTACAGAATTGATAATTCATGTCCTGCATCTATATGTGTATTTGCTACACTTGTTCGCATGTCGTCAAATTGACCGCATTTCATGCAGTTATTGAAGAGTTAAGCAGAGAACGTTGAAAGATGTGATTACCGATACTGCAATTGTCATAATCCTATTAGTCACATATCCTGGAGCTTTGCATAACCTCTAAAGGTCACATATTGCTGAAATTTATTGTCACACAGTAACTGCAACAATTTGTAATAATATATGTCATTGTTTACTATTTTTAATTAAGACATGTGTGATCATGAGGTATAATGTAACTAGCACCCTCTATCATTTATCTTTTTTTTAAAGGTACTGTGGAGTTACTCATGTATTACTGACCAAGCATTTTTTTCCCCCCATATGCAAGTCAAATATATGGCCTGAATTCACCTGAATGTTTTTTACGCTAGACTAATTTTCAGGAATTATTGGAAAATCAGTAAGATTCATAGCAATGCAAATTTTTTTTTCATCTCTCTGAAATTTAGTGTATGTGAGAAAAATATAGCTGTACCATATTTGCTCTATTAATAATGCAAATGTATTAATAAATCAGCATTGACTAAACAAAATTTGTTTATATATGTGTGCTTTCTATTGGGAATTGTCTTGTAACAGAGCAAATATGGTCAACGTAATGATTTTACAGTTGATGTTAAAAATACAATATTTCCAATAAATGTAGGCCCAAGCGTACCAAGAAGTCTGAAAGTCACCTACTTAACGAAAACCACCGCTGTTGTACTCTGGGCACCACCTGCATACATTTTCAAACAAGTTGACTATTACTTGGTCAAGTACTGGAAGTTAGATACACCTCAAGAAAAAGTGCGTATGGTGTCTGGAGAGGTTGCCTCGTATTGTCGCTTGGACAATCTGGTGTTGAACACTAAGTATGCCGTCACTGTGCAGGCTATTACGTTTAGCATTAAAAATCCTACCCGTTCATACTACGGACGGGAAACGCCAGTCTATCATTTCATGCACGGTGAATATTAAGCAGATTTTGTTCATAGTTGTATATAGTATGCTTCTACCTACACCAGCTTATTTATGCATTTTGTGTGTTATGGTGGTTATGGCTGTGTTCGTTCAAACGATCTAGTATAACAAGGTTTAGCAGAGTCTCCCACTCACTGTGCTAATACTCTTCTTTGCATGCAGACAGAGTTCAATACTGTAATTGACTCTTCTATCTTTTTTTTTTATGAGCTCTGAAACTTGAATGCTTATCAAATCTTCCTATTATTAATTTGATATGACTTTGGAATTTTTTTTTTAGTTGTATATTCTCCACGTAATACATTAAAGTGGGGGAGTCGTCACCTGCGCATGCGTCAGATGGCCATAGCGTGTCATTGTTCACAAACAAGCGTCTGTCTACCCATTAGCCTTTGCATTTTTAGCGTGTGTTGTTATTGTCGCTTGGGACTCCATTCCCGCGCGTGTGCAGGTGCCTCTTGCTTTAATGTATGGGGTCAACGACCTCAACTTGTCAATTTTACTGGCTATAATAACTCCCGGTATACATTTTCCCACTATTAATTTGTTGGAAAACAAGTATGGTGAGATGCTTATTTTCAAGATACTGGCTTTATAAAATTATTAATCATTGAAGTTTCAGATGTTAATCATTGCACAGTAGTACTGTATTTATGTAGTATTCATGCATGTTTTTTTTTTTTTTGTATTACTTTCTGTGGCATGTCACTATTAGTAATAGTTTTTTTATTATTATTATTATTATTTTTTTTTTTTCACGTTTGATTTTTAAAATTGAGTTGTTTCATATTTTAAGTGATTGCATTTTGAATAGAATTGTTCTGTTTTCATTTAATAACTTATTTCATGTAGTCTCCTTTATTATTATAATTATACTTTTTTTTAGTTTGCACTTGGTTTTAACTCCCTTTACCTGCTCCCAGCTTCTAATTCAGTAATTCCTTGTATGGGTTGTATGACTGTTGATAATCTATTGTAATTTTTTCTGGGTTTCAATTTCAGTATTTACAATGACAAGTGAAGTACAATCACTATAAACATGTAAAACTACAATTATAGAATTGAATATGATCACATGTCATTAAATCATGAAATTAAATACCAGTGAAAATAATACCTTTACAGTACCGTACTTTATCACAAATGTTGGAAAGTATTCTAACAAAAGTTCAACAAAGTTTGACTATAGTTTTATGGGGGTCATTGGTAGAACATGAATATATAATTATAAGACAAATTAGAAATCAGAGTAAAAAATGCAGAAAATTTTTTTTATGTATTTTATTCCATGTGGATCAACATATCATAATTATATTATTTTCCTTGATTTATAAACTAAGTAGAAATAATCTTGGCAGAGTAAGCTTCTCAGCGACAACCAGTTTAAAGCCACCCCATCTGGCATATGTTTAAATATGTGATATTTACCAAAAGCTATCTGTCAAAGTTTGTTGAACGTCTTTTAATTTATGGCTTATGCTTTTATCCAATTGATACTGATATTGTATAACACCAATTCATTCTTTCCTGTAGCTGATCCTGCTCAGACCACGACCCCTGTGAGACCAGTTGTCACTATTTTGTCTTCCACGTTGGCGTCAACCCCGGTACCGATGTATGCAGGCGAACCTGAGGATACAGTTGTGAAAATTGCCATCATCGTTGGTGTCATCATTGCTGTTCTTCTCATATGTCTAGTTTTTCTGATTCTCTTTGTTTTCAGGTTTGTAGATATACCATGTTTTTTTTTTATTGTTATAATACTTATAATTTTTGAGGAAACTCTGGTATCACTGAAAAAAGGCTGTTTCTTCATAAGATTTCTGTTTCTAATATGCCTGTGAATTCTGGTATAGTAAGAGTGGAGAATTGAGTATTACACAAACAAACAAACACACACACACACACACACACACACACACACACACACAGTTTTTTTTTTCATATTTTTGGTAAAGACTCGTATCCAGTAAGAAATTATGTTTATTTGGTGACAAAAATTATTGAAAAAATCACCAAAAAATAGCTAAAACAAATGAGAAAGTGGCAAAATATTGTAGCAAAATGTTGGTGGGATTAATTGTGGTGTTTTTGATACTGATAATTACGGTACTACCTATTTAGATATAAGGATTATACCATGATAGGAAAATCAGTAATTCTGTTTTTTTACAGTATGTGTTTGTCATTCGGAAGTTCCTTTTTATCATTAAGGGAACACAATGTCTATATGCATTCTTAAACCGCATATCAAAGAATTTATGTATCGCGACTATAGTACCTACTGACTAAATATTTTGTCAAAGAAATTTTCTCCAATTTATCATATTCTAGATAATAAAATAAGATAAGTGTAGGGTGTCACACAACAAATGTTGATCAAAAAAATGTACATTCCCACAATCCATTGCGCTCTACTAACAATCCAATATGGTGGCAAGTACTTTGTAAGGCTTGGTTTAAGTGAAATAGTGATGGCAGTAAGTGGAATAGACAATAAGTCTGTATATATAATCATATAATCTGCGTAAACGTTGTTTCTGTGGATGTGCACATGCATTGATATGAGACGTGTGTTATAACTATCTTGTTCGTATGACACCAATATCTGGCATATGCCCATATGGTACCGTACAGCGACAGTTGTTAATCATCATCAATATAATTTTCTTTGATTATAGAAAGAGATTTCAGTCACCTCACTATTACATGAGAGCAGACAGTGTGCAAAGACCCACCTCGCCAGAACTGGGTTTACCAGATATGCCAAGTAAGTCGTTTTTACAGCACAACACACAATCAGACCATGTTCTTAGAATTGATGGTATCATTACATTTTGGAGATGTTTATACAGTCTTTGTGCAGCAATTATTACAAATGCGCCATAGTGAACTAATGGCATGTGGTAGACATCTATCAAGCTCGATTTTCCTGTGAGATTTCATAATTTTTTTGTATGTGTTTCTATAATTAGCGATCTACCATATACTGATACTTATTGACAGGATTACCCCTACGAATTGTGCAAACTGATTACGCACCTACCGTACTCAAAAACAGTTTGTTTGGCCTTCATTTAAATGATCTACTGAATACTAAATGGCATAAAAATCCTGTAGGTTAAAAGTGACATGCATTGTCTGGAGTTTGTGATTCAAGTACAATGATGAAAATGACATGTACATGTGTTGGGACGGCAGTTGACAATTCTGGGTGCAGAAATCTAAAACCTGACAATAAATGGTCATGTGATATTGTTCACTGGAACTTCTTTGAACTGAGGGAGCTGAAATACTGTACAGTACTTTTATTAGTCCCTGTTTCAGGCGCAGCCTAAAAGGCGGACTATTAATTCTTATTTCAATTTCCCGTCTGTGACGTCTCTAACATTTTCTCAGAAATTCTGCAGCAGATATCGATGAAACTTGTCAGGTTGATGAACAAGTCTCTGCCGAATATGCACGTAATTTTTTTTCACAGATCTGAAAGTCCTAAGTGGGTTTTGTTCATGATTTTCATTCAAAACCGCCTCTTCCAACACTCCTGAGAGAACAACTGAGCATGCTCAGAATAAATAATTAGCTTAGATTGTAATGCTGGGGTTTTTAGTGATGTCATGACCTGGTCATGACCTTGATCTGAATCAGTGACAGATGGGTAGGACCATTACCAATCTCAGTGGGGTGTCAGGGCTACATTTTGATGGGAATTATAGTGGTGTTACTGAAACAAACCCAGGTTTTGGTAATATACAATGATCTGAATTAACAAAAAAGTCAAGTTGTTATTAAAGGTATATCAAGGTTTACTCAGATTTATGAAACAATGCAGTTTCTAGAGCATGTATGAGACATATTTTTGTTGCACTTGTATACTCTGAGATTTCGGACCCGGGTCAATTAAAGTTTTCAGTTATAAGATTGAGGGAAATCAATTTATGATGAGTTGTACCCACATAGAGTACATATTAATTTTCACTTGTCTCTAAAAAAAAGTTATTTAGCAAGAAAAAAATAAAATACATCCAAAATACTTATTTTCACATTGACTTAATGTAGTCGGTGATTATAATGTCTCAACCTAATTGGTTTTCATCAAAAATCAATGCACTAAAAAAAAAGTAAATCGTAGTAATTATTAAATTTGGATCAGTTTGAGCTGATACCAAATTTTGCACAACTAATTATATGACTGTACATATATGTACGTGTAATACATTATGGGAGAAAGCTTATTGTACGTAATTATTAACTATTATTATACAAGAAACCAACTACTGGTAAATTAAATATAAATATTTTGACAATATTAGCATATCATACAATTTTTGATATATGAACTTAGGAATCAGTTCAAAAATGCAAATTATTGTAATTTAACATTACATTTGTACTTTTGTACCTTTATGTATGCACTCATTCACATATGACAAGACTGAGACAGTGAAGCTATGTCGTCGTCAATGTAGCTTGTTTTTATTTTCAGCATCATTGAGGGCATAAACCTATAATACCTGGTACTGAAAACATGAAGAAAGTGACCAAATTTTCAATTCCTTAAAGCCTTTTTTAAGTCTTGAAGAACGTTTTAGAAAAAACAAATCTCAAAAGGCAATAAAGGTTCACCTTACATTCACAGGGTTAACTGTGTCCCCTTTCTACTGTATATTCTTGAATTTTACTAAATTATTTATCATATTTTTTTTTACAGCTATTCTTCAGGAAAATGCAATTCCCATAGATGCCTTTGAAAAACATGTAATGAATCTGCATACTGACAGTGACAATGGCTTCTCAGTGGAGTATGATGTGAGTACATGTTTGTATTGACTTTGACATTGAACAACATTGACTTTGAACAGTGCTTTTGTGTTTATAGTTAGGGGTACCCAGACGATTAGAACTACACATGTCCTGTACTCATGAAGTGTTGCAGCCCATGCACAAGTAATAATTAGTCCCTGTCACTAGATGGGGGCTCATGGATTTGGCTCCATCAGTCTGTGTCCCTCTGTGTTGCATCATCACTCTGAAGCATACAAACTTTCTTGGAAAAATTGTGTAGTGTAATGTGTATTGGCTCTGCAAGTTTATTCATGATTTACGCTGATTAGGGGGTAGTTTTAGGTCAATAAAATAGACTGAAAATTATGTTTTTGTCTGTTCTCAAACAATGTATTTCTCAATTTTATTCAAACTTCACATATAGGTGATGCACAATACATTACATATATTAAATAACACAATTTCACAATAAAAATGTGTTTTTTTCTTTCTAATGTTGAAGCTTTGCAGTGACTGATTTCATTAAAACTAGGATTATACATGTATATCTGGTACTCAGTGTTATGAGACACGACTTCAAGGAACATAGTTTTGTGGTGTTGCTATGCATAATGTGTGGTGTTTAATGTATGTATTTATGTAATCACACACATGTTCATGCATGACAAACTTTAATTTGCAAAGAGTGGGGTCACACCACTTGCCTATCACTTCCCCAAATGAAAACTCAGAAGTGCTAATTATCTTCAAATTATCATACCATTTTCAAGGGATTTTAAAGGCACAGCTCGCCTAATCACCCATGTTGCAGTGGAGCTCCATATTTAGCCATTTTCAGAAGGAAACGCCTGGTATGAGTTCTTGCCACATAAAAGTGAATGGAGGAGGTTAACCATGTTTTCTGACATTTGTTTTACAGAGTCTCAGTACATTTATTAACTGTTCAAATTATGGTTCACAATCACTGCTGGTAATATCCAGTGTTCACTTTTGGGTTACCTCGTTATCTAAAACGCATAAAACAATATTATTTGCCCAGAGATCCCTATTTACAATCGCTGGACTTGTAAGGAACTGATCTCTTGTTTATAGTTCCTTCTCAAATTGTTTTCTAATTGAAAAAAATACTCAATACTTGGATGATGGTTAGTGTTGCATTCTTTTCATAGGTGTATGTACATTGGAAAGTTCCCAGAATGCATTACCATTTCAGCAAAGTCTTATTTTATGTGTTTGTTTTGCAAAACACTTAATAGGATTTGGCTGACAAGTAGCCATTTTCCCGCCCATTAAAAAAAAAAATCATAAAAGGATAATTTTGATCAAACATAGGCAAGATATTACAAGAAGTGGACATCAACACTTTTACAATTTTGGTGTCAAACTGGCATGCTACAATGAATTCACGTTGAAATTTAGGGCCTTCTAAAAAAATTTCTCCCATTTTGTCCTCAAATGTCAGTTTAGCCCCATACAATGAGGATGCTACATGCGTATGTCATTCTGTTGTAATATTGTCATCGCTCTCATTATTGTTTTTTTTATTTTGCTTGTTTTCAGGAACTTCGAAAGATACCCAGTAAGCATTTGACATGTCTCAATTCCAAACTGCAAGAAAATAAAAATAGAAACAGATACTGGGACATTGTAGCATGTAAGTTGAACTGCCATTTAGGAATTAACATGTGGACAACTGCACAAATTGTATTTATTCCATGTGTGATTGTCCTATATGTGTGTATTGAAATATTTAATGATTTACAATACAACATAGACTGGCCCAGTCACGGTAATGTTAATGTTTTATATAAAATTGCTCAAAGAACAAGTTTTTAGAATCTCTCCGTTGACACAAAATTTATAGTTATTACTGCATATTTGATGTGATAAATATGCTAATGAGTATCATAAATTTTAAGTTGCCAACCAATAAGAAAAGCAACTTTTGTTCTGATCTGTTCTACCAAGGTTAGTAATCATGGTTCTACACACAACTATAATGCACATGTGGTTTTAGGTATATATTAGAATCTTTTATGCAAGTGCACACCTACTTTCCTTTTTTGAAAGTAAACGTCACTGCATATCATGAATAATTAATAGCAATAAATAGACCAGTCATAGTAATTTTGCATTGGACCAATATTTAAGAAAGAATTATAAAATTGCCATGACTAGGCCAGTTTATGGTATATGTCTATTTAAATAAATATAGAATTCACCATAGAAGTCACATGTGTTTTGAAATTATATAGGCTTACCATATGGTATGTGTTAATTGATCTGTGCATTTCTTTCTTATTTTACAGATGATCACACTCGTGTACATTTGCATCCGATATCTGGACAGCCGAAAAATACTGACTATATTAATGCTAATTACGTAGATGTAAGAATTATTCAATTTTGTTTTCACTTTCCAACCTGACATGGGAGGTTGTAGAACTATCCAACCTCACATGTCAGATTTCACTACTATCCAACCTCACATGTCAGGTTACACTACTATCCAACCTCACATGTCAGGTTACACTACTATCCAACCTCACATGTCAGGTTACACTACTATCCAACCTCACATGTCAGATTACACTACTATCCAATCTCACATGTCAGATTACGCTACTATCCAACCTCACATGTCAGATTACACTACTATCCAACCTCACATGTCAGGTTACACTACTATCCAACCTCACATGTCAGATTACACTACTATCCAACTTCACATGTCAGGTTACACTACTATTCAACCTCACATGTCAGGTTACACTACTATCCAACCTCACATGTCAGATTACACTACTATTCAACCTCACATGTCAGGTTACACTACTATCCAACCTCACATGTCAGATTACACTACTGTCCAACCTCGCATGTCAGGTTACACTGCTATCCAACCTCAAATGTCAGATTACACTACTGTCCAACCTCACATGTCAGAAGACCAGAAACATTTTCCGAGGACTTTAGCAATATTACAATGTACTATTGACAGTTAAAAATTTTTGATTAATTTCAGGGATACCATAAACCAAAAGCGTTCATCGCATCACAAGGTAAGAGACTTACCTTGAGACTTACCTGTTTTCCCTGTCACCTTTCACAAATTAAGATTATATTTTTAGCTCTGCTGTCAACTTTATCGAGTAGAGCTTATCATATGTGTGTTCGTCCGCCGTTGTCTTCTGCAGCGTCAACTTTTTACCTTTTGACTTCTTCTTGAAAACTACAAGCCTGATTGCTTTGGTACTTGGTGTATATGTACCTTCAGTAGACCTCACTTAGATTTGTTCATTTTATGATGATATCTTTAATTCTCTAATTTTGGTGAATAATTTTGTCAGTTTTGGTAAAAAGTGGTGTTTTTGACTTCTTGCCAAAAAACAGCAATTTTGATTGCTTTGATATTATCCATATAAGTACCTCAGGTAAACCTCTCTCAGATTTGTTCATTTTGTGATTATATCTTCCATTATTTAATTGAAATGTGCATTGCTAACAATGGAGCTATTTCATCCGAGAGAGGCTGCTTGTTAGCTCCGCTGTCGACTTTGTCGAGCGGAGCTTATCATATGAGTGATTGTCCGTCTCCGTCGTCGTCCGTGTCAGTGTTTTACTTTTTCGACTTCTTCTTGAAAACTACAAGCCTGAATGCTTTGATACTTGGTGTATATGTACTTTGGGTAGACCTCTCTTAGGTTTGTTCATTTCATGTTGATATCTTCAATTCTCTAACTTTGGTGAATATTTTTGTCATTTTTGGTAAAAAGTGATATTTTCGACTTCTTGTTAAAAACCGCAAGTCCAATTGCTTTGATACTACATATATAGGTACTACATGTGAACCTCTCTCAGATTTGTTCATTTCGTGATGATATCTTCAATTCTCTAATTTTGGTGAATATTTTTGTAATTTTTGGTAAAAAGTGATATTTTCGACTTCTTGTTAATTAAAAACCAATAGTCTGATTGCTTTGATATTACATATATAGGTACTGCATGTGGACCTCTCTCAGATTTGTTCATTTTGTGATGATGTCTTCAATTCTCTAATTTTGGTGAATATTTTTGTAATTTTTGGTAAAAAGTGATATTTTTCGACTTCTTGTTAAAAACCAATATTTCAATTGCTTTGATATTACATATTTAGATACTACATGTAGACCTTTCTCAGATTTGTTCATTTCGTAATGATATCTTCGATTCTATGATTTTGGTGAATATTTTTGTCATTTTTGGTAAAAAGTGATATTTTCGACTTCTTGTAAAAAACCAATAGTCTGATTGCTTTGATATTACATATATAGGTACTACATGTGGACCTCTCTCAGATTTGTTCATTTTGTGATGGTATCTTCAATTCTCTAATTTTGGTGAATATTTTTGTAATTTTTGGTAAAAAGTGATATTTTCGACTTCTTGTTAAAAACCAAAAGTTCAATTGCTTTGATATTACATATATAGATACTACATGTAGACCTTTCTTAGATTTGTTCATTTCGTGATGATATCTTCAATTCTCTAATTTTGGTGAATATTTTGGTCATTTTTGGTAGAAAGTGATATTTTCGACTTCTTGTTAAAAACTGTAAGTCCGATTGCTTTGATACTATACATATTGTTCATTTTCTAATGATGTCTTCAGTTCTTTAATTGAAATGTGCATTGCTAACAGCGGAGCTATCTCAGCCGATAGGCTGCTTGTTTTAAAAATTGTGATCAGAACGAATAACCATGCAGTAGCAAATTATGACTGTTTGGTCAAAAATTAACAAAGAAATTTAATAAAACTTAATAAAAATGTGCAAAATGTTGCACAAAAATGTTGACTTTCGAAGAGTTAATATCGTGTGCCAAGTCAAATGCTAGGCATTTTGTAGTGTAATTAATTATTCACAAAGATGTTTGATTTGGACAAACAAATTGACAAACAAAACTAAAAAATAGCAAGATACATTTTTAAAACTTTTGTGGCTTTGAAATTATTTTGTGAGCAATAAGCTTTTCTGTGAATCACAACTAATCATTAAAAGCAACATCAAGGTACTGTAAAATACTTTATTTTTGCTTGGAATTAATTTTCGCTATTTTCGCTGAAGAGATGAGTCAGTGAAAATAAACTGCAGTGAATATACCTTTTTTCCGATATTTTACATTCAACTTGTCAAAAATCAGTAAAAAATAAATTCCTTACGAAACACCCAAATAGTGTTTTCAGCGAAATTTAATTCCAGCTAAAATAAAGTATTTTACAGTAATATGTGGTTTAAATTTCCATTATCATCTATGCAGCCCATTGGTTTACATTTGACTTTGTTTCATGCACTAATCACATACTATGGTAAGAGATCGTAGTTGGACAAATGCGATTGTACTTTGTGCGTATTTGATGTCTTGAACTGAAAAACTGACTAAAGCTCTAAGGTTTCCAAGGTTACCAATGTGAATCTTTTCGTTCCACTTTAGGGCCTTTAAAATCCACTATCACAGAATTTTGGCAGATGATTTGGGAGCAGAACTCTGTTATCATTATTATGTTAACTAATCTAGTGGAGAAAGGAAAGGTATGTATTTAATGTCTTTTGTTAATGATATTCACATCATGATTTAAATCTATAAACTTGCATATTTCTAATAAGTTAGGGGGTCACAGGATTTGAATAAAGATGAGAAATGAATCAAAATTGCTACCTAACAGCTCATGGCGGGGACAAAATGACATCGTACTGGGCTGCATTATCAATGTCATTAATCATTCATTTTTCTTATGTTCTGCTATAGAGGAAATGTGAGCAATATTGGCCGTTACACGGTACTGAACAGTATGGCTTCATTGAAGTCACCTTAGAAGACACTAATACACGAGCTACTTTTACAGTCCGCAGATTTACAGTGAAAAACTTAAAGGCAAAAAAAGTGAGTTTTTTTTTTTTTAAACCTGCTGTTTCAAACAAATTTATACATTAATTCAGTTAGATTCTGTAATCAGATTAATAAGTTCAGAATAAATTATGTTATTGTACTCCATGTTCATTATAGTTGCAATGATTTGACAGAACACTGTAACATGGTGGTCAATAAAAAAGACATCCCCTGCATTCATGTGAGCTCACATGAAATTAAATGTTGGATTTGTTTATTTGCTCACTTCACCATTGTAGATACGTGGACAGCATATGGATCGTATGATATATCAGTATCACTACACAGCCTGGCCAGATCATGGAATCCCCGAAGACAGTCTACCTGTAATATCATTTGTCAAAAAATCATCAGCTGCCAACCCACCTGAAGCTGGTCCAATCATTGTACATTGCAGGTGAGCTGTGTTTTAGTCCGTGTCAGATTGAAATGTCCTTGCTTTAATTTAAGATATAGTGTGGGATATGGAAAATGCATATCTTACGTGCTATTAAGTAGCAATAACTTGTAGACTGACCTTTGTCTGTGAATTCCCACCTATATATTCCCACCTAGACCATTCACATTTAAACTTCATACATACATCTTATGAGACATGCAGTCCAATGGTTTAACGATTCAATTCAAGATGGCCAAAAGTTGATCATTTATGTGTATTCTTAAAATTGGTCAAAATCAAGCATTTCTGCCATTTTGAAATGGGATCGCTGATTCTCAATGGGCAAGTTGGTAATAGTTATACTATGTTTTTTTCCTTCTTCACAGTGCTGGTGTTGGTAGGACTGGTACATATATCGTTATTGATACAATGTTACATTTAATAAAAGATAAAAAGTGTATCAACATTATGAGTTTTATGAAACATATTAGACAACAAAGAAACTATCTTGTGCAAACTGAGGTAAGTTGTCTGACCTGCCCAAGTTAGTTGATGTAATATGCGTTGTGTGTTTCTACTGAGATAACATCAAATTATGTCATTGTAGTAGCCACAGTTTTGTAACAACTGTTACGTTTTTATTGAAAGAATTATAATTGAACATGCCATAATTACTGCCTGAAATTTTTGTGATTTGATAATATTTGTTGAATTTTAAGAACCCCGTAAGAATTTTGTTTTCACAGTACAGACAGTTGTTATCATAAACTCTGAATGACTGTTTCATTGTTATCTGCTGTAAACCAAAACATAGTTGTATATGTATGTGAACTGTGAAATGCTTTAATTGTACAAAATTAGTGTGGAAAAAAAGATGTTTTGTAGCAGTGAACATTTCATTGGGATTTTGTTGACCTTGTAGAAGCTGATTCTTGCTTTCCTGCTGGTTGGTCAACAATGATTGGCCATTTGCTTTCATGTTTCCAAATTCATGTACAGGCATGAACATTCAAATCATAGTTTCCAAATACAGGAATTTACTCATGAATATTCAAATCATAGTTTCCAAATACATGCATTTACTCATGAATATTCAAATCATAGTTCCAAATGCAAGCGTTTATACATGAATATTCAAATCATAGTTCCAAATGCAAGCATTTCTGCATGAATATTCAAATCATGGTTTCCAAATACAGGTGTTTAAACATGAATATTCAAATCATAGTTTCCAAATACAGACTTTTACTCATGAGTATTCAAATCATCATCATCTCCCGTGGGACTATCACCTTATCGTTGGTGGGGGTGTTTGCGCGCTTCAATGACCTGGAGAGCTATGCCGTCGGGAGTCTTGTACTCCTGGTAGGGTCACCCAAGGCGGAAAGGTCGACAGGTAGAAGCCAGACGAAGTATAGTCTCCTGGTCCTCCAGGTTGGGCTATGGGCTGATAACCCATTCCTGTAAAAAAGTGATTATTACAGAAACCAGAAGCCGAACGAATACTACTGAACCTAACAATTTGGGGGAAGCCATGACCCCTCCTTACAGGAGTGAGATTAGGATGCGTCTGGGTGAAAACCGAGAGGAAGCTCAGGGGAGGAGAAGGCCATTGCTAAACCCAAAGCACAAACTTAGAATAGGAAACTGGAATGTTAGAACCCTATACCAAGCAGGGAATGCAGCACAAGTATCAAGAGAAATGGAGAAGCAAAGAATAGAATTGATGGGAATCAGTGAAACACATTGGACTGGGCAGAGAAAAATACGAATTGCTGATGAAATGTCAATCAGTGAAACACATTGGACTGGGCAGAGAAAAATACGAATTGCAGATGGAATGTCAATCATCTACTCAGGAAGAGACGACGAGACACACAGAGAGGGAGTAGCTATAATGATGACCAATGAAGTAGATAAAGCATTTATAGACTGGGTGCCAATAAACGAGAGGATTATTAAAGCAAGATTCTTTTCCAACCATATCAAACTGACAATGATACATGCATATGCTCCAACAGAAGGTGCAGATGATCAGATGAAAAGATGAATTCTATGAGAA